ACTGAATAGACCCCAGTGGAGGCAGACAGCATAGGGGATGGATTACACTTGAGAAATGAGCACGGTAGGACTGTAATGGGACCGGCAGTTCATGTTAAGGAATCTACATTTTTCTCTCTGAAGGGTAATGGGAAGACTTCGAAGCGTTACGAGTAGTATAAGGACCCGATATGACTTGTGTGTTACTAGACTCATTCTATCTGCAGTGCAGGGAATGGGTTGGAGGGGATGGAACCGTATGAGAAACCTATCATGCACATATTAAACGGTTGTCTCAGAGTAATGGGAAGAGGACACAGGTGTTAAGAATCCAGGCACAAACCCCAAAGGATGGAATTTGAACTCAAACCTTAATGGTCATTATTGAGCCTTTCAAATAACTAGTAGCACCCCACCACCTCCCTCTTCCCACAGCCTTTCTATAATCTCCGATTTTCTCTGATTATTGTGGAAGAGTGAATTTTGGGTGCTGTTACTAATTAGCATAGTGTAAGATAAGCAGCAATTTGGTTGGAACATTTTAATAATAGTTATTTTCTCTTTTGCCTGTGTTTAAAAGTTCTAATTTAATGAATAAATTATCTTTAGAGATCTTAGTTATTTCTAGTTTTGTTGTTCCATCTGATATGTTAATTTCGTCAACAGATTTATTTTAATAATGGAAAAAGAAAGTTTTAAAAAACCCTTTCCACCTTGAAGTCTAAACCAACTTGTATGTTAATACCTTAAAAAACTGGTGAATTAAAGAAATTTTTGCACGGAAGGGCGTGGATGATGAACTTTCATTGAGCTTTTTTCATACCTAAAGGTGGGGCATTCCTGAATCAGAGTCACCTGAACTTATTCTGAACAATTTTAAAAAACTACTTAAGTAAGATTAATTTTCATTGAAATGAACAGCAAGAAGGTGTGGCAGAAATAGCTGTGGACTAGAAACTACAGGACCAAGGCCTCGCTTTGGCCCCATTCTTAACTGACTATGTGTGTTGCATCATGAACCAATAGCTTCTCTGGATCTCAATTATTCTCAGAAAACAAGGGAGCAGGAATAGATAATTCCTAAGGCCTTCCAAGCATGTGCCTATTATGTTCAGGCTGTGCTCTAGGGGCGTGGGAATGAATAAAACACATTGATCACTCTTATGAGGGAACATGATTTACAAAACTGCCATTGACAAACAAACAAATAGGATACATTCAGATAGGGTAAGAATATAAAGAAAATGAAAAGGGACAAAGGCATATAAAGAGTTGTGAGTTTGTTGAGAGTAAACATTTATATTTGCAAATAAAATATTTATATAAAGCGGTAGTCAGGAAAATGTCTCTGATGGAGTTCCTTCTTTGCTAAGAGCTAAGTGATGAGAAATAGTTATCCATACAAAATTTAGGGTAGAATTGTTTCCAGCAGTAAGTTTGCGAGAGCAAGGCCCCAAATGCTGAAAAACGTTGGCGTATCCCAGGAATGAGGAGCTCAGCATGGCTGGAGAGTAGTGAGTGAGAAAGTGACATGAGGTGAGGGCTAACAGGTGGACAGTGGCCGGATCCTGTAAGTCTGGTTGGCAATGGGAGGGGTTTGGATTTTATTCTAATATTCATCAGCAATTTTGGACCATTAGACAGTTTTAGACAAGAAGAAATGAAGTCTCTTTTTTTCTTATTTTTTTTTTAAGGTTACTCTGGGTGACACCGGAGAAGGACTGTAGTGGGGTGAAAATGAAGCAGGCACTAGGCAAGAGCCTGCAGCAATCCAGGTGCGAAATGATGGGAGCCATGGAGGTGGTGGGAAAAGGAGTTGGGATATGTTACAGAGCTGTAGATGCAAGTACTTGCTAAGGAGTGGATGTTTATGAGACTGAGCTATTGGCCTCTAAGAATCGATTATTCTATGCTCCCATCTGAGTTTGCCTCTCTCCCTTCCCACATCTAAGAAGTGGTTGATTGGGGTGAGAAAGGTGGTTTGTGGTTAATAAGACTGACGCAAGCTAGCCTATGGGGAGATCAGAGAGAGACCTTGCATCTGTTAGCTTGGTGCCTCATCTCAATGAGCCGATGGAATGTGCAATGTGAGAAATAATTTCTAGAGAGAAAATAAAAGTGGGGAGTAGCTGGTGGCATTTAGGCAAACCTGAACCGTCTGACAAAGCAAATTTCTGCGCTCTTTCCCTTTCAAATTTGTTCCCAAGAACTTGGTACATTCAGTTTGGCTGTAGTGGAGACAGCTGTTTCAAACAGAATTGAATCCAATTTCCATGACATTTTGCACACATGCAGATCTTGGCATTCAAATGACTCGTGAGTGCAATTAATAAATGGCAGCATTATTTTGGAACACTTAGTGTATTATGTTTTCAGGAAATGCAGTGTACCTAACCTTTAACAATTTATACTCTGCTTTCGTTTTTATTGTCATTTCACTGTAGTTTTTGGACACTTGTTCCTAAAACATAATTATCTTCCTATCAAGATAAACTGTAGAATAAAATTTTCTTCTTGCCATGACCCACATTATGGGGTGTGTCCATTTTAAAGGGCTAACATGATCAAACTGACATTCTAAAAATGCCATGTTCATTCTAAACCTGCAAAGAATATTCTTGGTGTCTTTGGGATCTTGCCTTTATCTCGTTTTGTCAATAATTTTGTTGCATAAACAACTCTGCCTAGGACATCTGGGCGGTTTAAATACTGGATATACTCATTCAGCAGATATTTGAGCTTCTTACTCCATGCAGGACCTGTGATGGCCATTTGGGGAATTGCAAAACATAAGACTACCTCTGCCTTCCATCTAAATAACTATCCATTTGGGAAGGTGGCATAGAAAAGGCTAAATAATGCAAGAATTTTAAAAAGTTATAAATTAGGTGATGGGTAATGGTTTATAACTGTGCTTCTCAAACTGTTAAATACACATGAATCTCTTAAGCAGCTACACTGCACATTCTCATTCAGCAGGTCCGTGGGAGTGGAAATACGGTGAGAATGAGTTCCCCGTTGATGCCAATGTTGTTGGCCCATAACCAGATTTTGAGTAGCAAGGAATTAGATTTCAGATCCCTAAAGTGTACGCTGAGGTATCCCAGGTGCTGCAGTGAATTCACAAGGACACCACAAGATATTTTAAAATTTAAAATGAAACAAAACACAGTGATGCTCATCCTTTGCCATGTAAACTGCTAGTCTGAGGTAACGTATAGTTTCAATATTAGATCAAACCACTCCTTTCAATCTTATCACATCCTTGCAAAGTTGGATTCTTGGCACTTGCTGCTGTAAAAATGCAAGTAATGTGCAAAAATCCACTTGGAACAGGCAATGAGGGTCATGGCGTTATCTGAGCTCAAAGTCTGAGAAGTTGTGCAGTGGCCCGACAGATACACACATCCCATTAGTAAGCAGTGGTATATAAAAATAACATTTTTTCTTTATTTTTATAAATTTAAAAAGCAAAAGTGCAGTTTTATGTGGATATATTGCATAGTGGCGAAGTCTAGGATTTTGGTGTAACCATCACTCAAATAGTATACATTGTACCCCTTAAGTCATTTTTTCATCTGTTACCTCACGCTCACCCTCTCACCCTTTGGAGACACCAATATCTATTATTTCACACTCTATGTCTATGTGTACAAATTATTGAGCTCCCATTTATGAGTAAGAAAATGCAATATTTGACTTTCTATTTCTGAGTTGTTTCAGTTAAGATAATGTCCTCCAGTTCCACCCATGTTATCGCAAAATACATAATTTCATTTTTTTAATGGCTGAATAGTATTTCATTGTGTGTATACACACACACATATATCTAGAATGTATATATAAAAATATAATATACAGCCACATCACATTTTATATATAATCATTATATATAATTAATTATATATATAATGTATATATCATTATATATTTTTTGCATATATAAAATTAATTATATACATACAATTGTATACATATATATAATTAATTATATATAAAATTATATACATGTATATAATTAATTATATATATACACATGTATATAATTAATTACATATGTAATGATTAATGATATATAAAATGTGATGTGGCTGTATATATATATTTATCCAGTCATCCACTGATGGACAGTTACATTGATTCCATATCTTTGCTCTTATGAGTAGTGCTGTGCTAAACATACAAGGGTAAGTCTCTTTTTAATACGATGATTTCTTTCCCCTTTGAGTAGGCATCCAATAGTGAGATTGCTGGACAAAATAGAAGTTTCTGTTTTTAGTTATTTGAAAAATCTCCATACTGTTTTCCATAGAGGCGATATATACATTCCCACCCTCAGCTACAGGCATTCTCTTTTCTCTACATTCTTGCCAACATCTTAAATATTTAAATAATTGCCATTCTGCCTGGTGTGAGATGATACCTCATTGTGGTTTTCATTTGCATTTCTCTGATGATTACTGTCATTGAGTATTTTTTCATATTTTTGTCGGCCATTTGTAAGTCTTCTTTTGAAAATGTTCATGTCCTTTACCCACTTTTAAATGGGATTACCTGTCATTTTTGTTGTTGAGTTGTTAGAGTTCCTTGTAAATTCTGGATATTAGTCCCCACTGGCGGCATAGTTGGTAAGTATTTTCTCCCATTCTGTAGGCTATCTGTTCACTCTGTCGATATATACCTTTTGCTGTGCAGAAGTTTTCAGTTTAATTAAGTCACATTTGTCTATTTTTGGTTTGGTTGCTTGTTCTTTGAGGTCTTAGGAATTCTTTGCCTAGGCCAACGTCCAGGAGAGATTTCCCTTGGGTTTCTTTTAGTATTTTTATAGTTTCAGGTCCTACATTTAAGTCTTTAATTGATCTTGAGTGATTTTTGCATACAGTGTAAGAAAGGGGTCCAAATTCATTCTTCTGCATATGGCAATCTGATTTTCCCAGCACCATTCATTGGAAAGAGCTTCTTTTCCCCAGTGTATGTTTTTGTTGACTTTGTCAAAGATCAGTTGACTGTAGACTTGTAACCTTATTTCTGGGTTCTCTATTCTGTTCCATTGATTTATGTGTCTATTTTTATACTAGTGCCATGCTGCTTTGGCTACTGTACCCTTGCAGTACCATTTGAAATAAGCTAATGTAATGCCTCCAGCTTTGTCTTTTTGCTTAGAATTGCTTTGGCTGTTTGGGCTCTTTTTTGGTCCCATATGAATTTTAGAATTGTTTCTTCTAATTCTGTGAAAAATTATGTTTGTGTCTTGATAGGCATTGCACTGACTCTGTAGATTGCTTTGGGCAACAGAATCATTTCAATGATATTGATTTTTCTGATCCCTGAGCATGGGGTATTTTTCCATTCATTTGTGTCATCTTTAACTTTTTTAAACAGTGCTTTATAGTTTTTCTTGTAGACATCGTTCATCTCCTTAGTTAATACAGTATATTCTTAGGCATTTTATTTTTTTTGGTAGCTATTGTAAATGGGATTGCCTTTCTTGATCTCATTCTCAGCTTGATTGTTAGTAGTATATAGAAATGCTCCTAATTTTTGTATGCTGATTTTGTATGCTGAAACTTACTGATTCATTTATCAAATCTAAGAGGATTTTGGTGGAGTCTTTAGTGTTTTCCAGCTATAGGATCATGAGCTTTCTTTCCATTTACATGCACTATTTTTTTTAAAAAACAGCTGCTAAGATTTTAGAACATGACTACTTATTAAGTTGTTTGGACATAACTACTTAGTAATGAAACTAGGCATTTCTTTTGGCATATAGATCCCATGGAAAAGAGAGAGAGACACTTAGGACTCTGTGAATAGAGGAAGTTTGCAAAACCTCTGGGTTCTGTAATAAGTATTATGAATTCAGAGAGGCCTGGAGAGGTCAGCTAAGGTCATGTGAAGGACATGGCACCTGAGACAGGTCCGCAGGGAAATGATGTGGCTGCACTCCCCAGATGTTCTAAAATGCATGAAGAATATATGCTTAGACTGATGCTTTTATTCAAAACTCCCACTTCTCTGTTCTCTTTGGTGGTTCTTTGAATCCACACAGGTTTCTGCCGAGGACTGCTTTTGTGCCAGGCAGGACCCCCATTGTGGAAAAGGCAGCCACAGAATAGAGTAGCCTCCAGAATCTCAAAACACATGCTGTAATCTGGAGAGTGGATTTGTGCATGGGTCTATGCCTTTGGTGCCAATGTTGTCCTTCCTTGGTGAATAATACCAATGCCAGCTGGCATTCATCATGGCAAACCACAATATGCTTCTGTCATTTAAATTTTTCCAAAACCTCAATTGTGTTTTCATTGTGTGAATGACATTAGTTGTTGTTAAAGCAAACTGATTTTTAAATTGCCCCGCTCTCACACTCTTTTGGGGAACACGTCTATATTTTCTCCACAGGACACACAGCAATTTCTAGAGAGTGCTTGAACGTAAGCATGTTAATAAAGTTTGTGGCCAATTTTACTAATCATTTTACTCCCCAACCCAATTGGTAATGGTGTTGAGTTTGGAGGAATGGGAAATGGTAAAGGAACCGGGGTTGAAGCAGCAGGAAATGGGGAACTTCTTGGTACAGAGCAGTGGTGAGGCAGGAGAGCAAGTGGCATTTGAGGAAGATTATCTTTGTAGTGTTATTCAGGAGGGATTGGAGGGAGGAATGAAGAGGGAAGCTACTAGAAGCTCTAGTGTGTGGTGACAGTGGCAGTGGAAATGAGAATGAAAGGAAAGAGATGCCACAAAAAAGTCACAAAGGGACTCTAGCCACTGGCTGCTTATGAAGTGAGGTGGGCAGAGGAGATGGAAAACATGCTGAGGATCCCAGAGGGCTGGGATGCTGGGGGAATGATGGGGAAACAGAGGAAAGCCAAGAGGGAAGACCCCATTTTGGAAGGCTTCAAGGGGTAAGTTTGGTTTTTGATGTACGGAATTTCAGTCATGGTGGAAATATGCTATTGCAATGAGAAATGGAGATAAAAAGACCAGGGCAGAGGTTTGGCTTGTGCTGAGATAAGAGGTGAAGAACTGGTGATGAGAACATACTCTGGGGAAAAGGGTGGGTGTGAAAGTCCAGCTACATGGTGAACCGTGGGAAGCACCTAACCTGGCAGGGCAGCAGTAGAAGACAGAGCCAATGAATTAAACAAAGATGGAGCAGTCAGAAAGCTTGAAAGAAAACAGTATATTATAAGCAGCCTGAAGGAGGCTGAAGAGTTTCGTTGATCCAGTGCCTCATAGGTGTAAAGTATAATCTCAGATATTTTTCACATGTCAGTGCATGGATTACCCACAACACACTTGGAGCTAGATAGCTTCTTCCTCATTTTACAGGTGAGGAAATTGATGGTCAGAGATACTAAGTAACTTGGCCAAGGTCATTCAGTTATCAAGTGGAAGGATTTGAACCCAGGTGCTAAGTGTTAATCCAAAGTGCTTGCTCTTCCCCTAAACCTTTTAAGAGTGGAAATGGAGACGGTTAAAAGATTCTTGTGACCATTTAGAGCAAAGGGTCTTAATCTTTGGTTCTTAAGGTCTCCTTGGATAAACTTCAGGAAGTTTTTTAATCCCTATGATTACATGCAAAATTTTGTATGCAAAAAAAATTTACGCCCTCCTGCCCACCTACAGTCAGATGATCTATAATATTCCCAAAGGGATTTTGAACCTTCCCCAAAATTTAAGAATAGCTGTTCTAAATGGCCGTTTTAGTGGAGCAGTGAAGGTTAGGGAGTTTTGGATTAAATATGTAGTGAGGAAGACAAAAGTAGTCCGTGACATCATTAAGAAATTCAGCTCTGAAAGAACAAAAGAATAGTACGGTAGCTTGAGGAGGTAGACAAGTGAAGCTGTTATTTATTTCTTTTAAGACAGGGAGATGTGGTCAGGTGCAGTGACTCACGCCTGAATCCCAGCTCTTTGGAAGGCCCGGTTTGAGCCCAGGAGTTTGAAGCCAGCCTGGGCAACATCGTGAGACCCCATCTCTATACAAAATACAAAAATAAGCTGTGCGTGGTGGCCCGCTCCTGTAGCCCCAGCTACTTAGGAGGCTGAGGCCTGAGGATCACCTGAGCCTGGGAGGCAGAGGACACAATGAGCCAAGATCACATCACTGTACTCCAGCCTGGGTGACAGAGTGAAATCCTGTCTCAAAAGGAAAAGAAAACCAAAGATAGACAGATATGAGATATGAGCCTGCTTGGCAGCAGAGAGGAAGGATCTAGGGAATAAAGAGATATTGATGACCTAAAAGTAGGAGGGGGAGTGGGGGTGACCAAGGAAGCTCACCAGAGACAGGAAAAAGGTTGGCGTTCTCTCCTGGAGATGTTGGCCTCCGCTAATCGTTGCTGGCATTCGGTTAGCTGGTTCAGTGAGATTCTAGGAAATGTTTCTCTCAGAAGTATAGTCCAAAAATATATATAAAAAAGATAGGAAGGAAGGGGGGGAGGGAGGAAAAGGGGGAGGAAGAAAGGAAGGGAGAAAGGGAAGGAGGGAGAGAGAGAGGGGCAGAAAGGAATGAAGAAAGGAAAGAAAGAAGGAAGGAAGGAAGGAAGGAAGGAAGGAAGGAAGGAAGGAAGGAAGGAAGGAAGGAAGGGAGAGAGGGAAGGAGGTAGAAAGGGAGGGAGGAGAGAACAAGCCTCATAGTGTTTCTCTAAGAGAGAGGCAAGGAGAAGGAAGATGAGAGAAACCAAACCTCCCAAGTGATCAAAGCCAATTCTGTGACATCTTTCTTCTTGGGAGTCAAAGCTAATTCTGTGACAACATCTACTTTGTGCATTAAGAAGAGATAGAGACTCTCAAGGTCAAAATCCACACTCAGAGCCTTCAGGGATGTGCTAAAAGAAAAGCTCCCTCTGTCTTCCAGGTACCACCATTTTTAAACCTAGAGGAAGAGGGAGGGGATCTGGCCAGGCTGTTTTTATTACAAAACTCTTCCTCTGTTTTTATGTCCTGAGTTTCAGATGCGTTTAATTATTCTTCCTTAATGCCATATTCTGCTTTTAATTTTTTTTTTTAAAAACCTCTTCATGTAGGTGCAAATTAAATTGGTATTTTGTTCACATGAAGGAAAATATAAGGTTTACCTTGTTTGCTTCTCCATGGACTGTGGGCATTGTATTTTGGAGTTTGTTTTTAAACAAAAGTAGAATTTTATTATTATTATCTATAGATGCCCATGGAATATCAAAAAACAAATTCAGTTCAAGTGTATAACCTCTGGGCATTATTAGCTCACAATTCACTAAGGTATGCATAGGTAAAGAAGTTTTTAATTAAAAAAATACGTATATACATACACACACGTATTTTACCTAAATTAAAACTTTAATTAGCATGAAATGTATGTTCAGATTCTACTTTGTGCTGGGCATTGTAATGTCCTTAATTTCAAGGAGCTCAGAATCAAATCAACAAACAGAAAGATAAGTAAAGTAAGAATTTTAATAAAAATCATAACTAACATTTACTGAGCACTGAGACTGTGGCAGGCACTGTTCTAAGTGCTTTACAAGTATTAATTCATTGAATCCTCATAATAAAGCTATGTCATAGGCACTAGTATTGTCCTCATTTTGCAAGCGAGCAATTAGAGGGCAGAATAGTTAAGTAACTTGCCCAAGGTCACACAGCCAGTTAGTGGTGGCTCTAAACATCCCACATTCTGACACATAAGTGCAGTTATGGAAACAGAAAACCCAGGAGAGCAGGGGCTAGGAGAAAGGACTGATGGTGATAGAGGATGCTTCCCCATGCAGGTGACCTTGGAGCTGAGTTCTTAAGGATGAAGTGGGTGGCAAATTACGGGCAGAGAAGTCTGAAACAGCAGGGTGAGTTCTGGAACTCTAGCAGTTTGGTGTTGCTGGAGTGTGTTGTAGGAGGAGTAAGTGCTGGGTGGGAAATGAGATTGGAGAGACAGCCGGGGACAGATCATAAATGTCTTCAGTGCTGTACCCAGCAGCTGAGATGTTGTCCTGAGGCTTGTGAAAGAGTTAAATAAAGGAGAGATATAGCCACATCTCAGGACAAAACACTGAAGGCGTTTATATAAGCGTCTTAATCTCTGAACTCTTCTGGATTCTCAGTTTTTTTAAAATATGTATACCAAAAAGAAGAAAAAGAAAAAAAAGGAATCGAAGAAACTATGATGGTTTATTAAAATGACATAAGTTATGGAAAATTCCAACTTACTGCTGACTTAATTTTCTGATTAGTAGATCACACATCTCTTTTGTATCTCATTAACAACTGATTAAGAAGATTAATTAACTAATTTTAACTCATAGTATTAAGAATTAATAAGAATAAATAAAATGAGGATGTAGTAAAAACCTGATTGTCCTCCAGGCTTTGGGAAAGACCACGTTTCTTAAGTGTTAATAGAATAATTTGCTTTATGCCTGCAGTTTGGATTCTGTCCCCAGACTCAATTCTAAGCTTTATTCTGGGGCTGAGTCACTGTCCTGTACACAGTGTATAAACCATGTATGTCCAGCTCATACGTTCCAGGCCCTCCACCTTTCTAGGGACAGGTTTTTTTTCTTTTTTTTTCACGTACACATTAAATAATACGAAGCCCCATCTCCTATGTTATGAAAAGCCCACACCTTCCCAAGATTGCCAACACTTCCCAGGGGTGACACATTATCAGAGTCACCTCCTGCTTTGAATTCTGGCTCCCATTAAAATTTTCTTCTCTTTCATAATCATACCTGCTTATTTAGTCTCCCTCCCTCCTTGAACAAAACAGCTGCTTTCTTCATAAGAAATTTTGCCTTTCTTCTGAGTCAACCAATGTACACTGGAAACAGCTTTTACAGTAACAATCTTTTATTTACTATCACAATCATACCTTACATTGCTGCATGTATTATAATTGCCCAGTACATTATAGTTTTCAAAACATTTTTCACAATAAAGCAGGTATTATTATTCTCTTTTGAGAGGAGAATGGAGGGGAATCTAACATTTGTAGACTGCATTTTATGAGCCAGCCATGGTGCTCCCTTCTTCATATATTTGAGTTCATTGGCACATAGAATCTTATTAAGCCCATTTTCCCTTTCATCCTTCACAACAATTTTGCAAAAGCATATGCCTTCCTTATCTATTGCCATATAACACATTGCACACAAAGTTAGCAGCTTAAAACAACAAATATTCATTACTTCAAAATGTTTATGGGTCAGGGATCTGGTTGTGGCTTACCTGGACATCTGCGTCAAGATCTCTCAGGAGGTTTCAGTCCTGCTGTTGGTCTGGGCTGTGGTCTCATCTAAAAGTTTGACTGGGGGAAAATTGTCTTCTAGGCTCATAACATAGCTGTGGGAAGGCCTCAGATCCTAACCTAGCTGAGGTCTCCCTCAGTTTATTGCCATGTGGTCCCCTCCATAAGGCAGCTCACAGCTGGCTTCCCTCATAGTGAGTGAGCAAGGAAGTGAAGCAAGCTTTTAAGTTGGGAGGTCCCTTTGCAACCTAATCTTAGAAGTGATATCTCATTACTTTCGCCATATTGTATTTGGTAGGAGTGAATCACTGGATCCAACCCACACTCGAAAGAGTGGATTATACATGAAAATCAGAAGCAGGACCTTTGGGGCCCACTTTAGAGCTTGCCTGCCATAGCATTATCATCCCTACTTTGTAGTTGAAGACAAAGAAAAGTTAAAGAGAGTAAGCTAATTGAGCAAGACCTTACAACTAGCAAATGAAAAAGCCAGCAGTAAACTCTGATTTGATGTTCTAAGCAGAAAATGCAAATCTATTGGCTCCAAAATCAACTCTTTTTTTAATCAATAAAAGAGCTAAATCAAGGATATCAGCAATTTTTATTAAAAACAGAACGAAACAAAAGGCCCTTCCAGTGACTTCTTTGTGTTCAGTACAGATTCAGTCACATCCCTTATCCAGTGGTTCCCAAATCTAGTCAATGCCTAGGAAATAGTTTTGGCCAGTCTGAAGCAAACTAAAATATATAAGAACTATGTAGAAGTTTTTCATAATTATAACATTCAGTGAAAATGGCTTTTCTTTATTCTTATTTTTATTCTTTTCATTTTGAGTTGTTAAAATGGTCTTTTATAATGTGTTGGCAATAATAGAATGGTAATCTTTCTAAAAAAGTATTAGTCTTATTTGACACAACGAATGATATGCAACGCCCTGGTGGATTCCTAGTTTTTTTCTGAACTTTCACTCGTCTTTGAAATTCAAAAGTTTAGAGGCCTCTGCTTCACATCACAGTTATACAATCCTGTAAAGTGCCTCTTAATAGAATGATGTCCCTGAGTTTTAGATAAGTCCTCAAAAGTTAAAGAAAGTCTCAAGTATGTTTAAAACATTTAGTAAGGCAGGAAAGTGGGGTTTTATTTAAAGGGAGTAAAAAAATCGTTTTTCCTGAAACTTTAAAAAAATAAACATTTATATTTTATAATAGTTTTAGATTTACAGAATGCACAGATAGAGGGTTCTTGTATTCCCTCATCCCACTTCCCCTATTGCTAACATCGTAATTGACTGTGACACATTTGTCACAGCTAAGGAACCAGAATTGACACATTATTATTAACTATGCTCTACAACGTACTCAGATTTCACTAGTTTTTCCCTGATGTCCTTTTCCTTTTCCAAGATCTTACCCAAGATATCACATTACTTTAGAAGTTGTGTCTTCCCAGCCTCATCGAGCCTCTGATAGTTTTCTCTGCCTTTTCTCGTTTTTGATGACCTTGATAGTTTTGAGGAGTATTATCAGGCATCTTGTTAAATGTCTCTAAATTTCAGTTTGTCTGCTGTTTTTCTATAAAGATTCAGAACTCTAAGAGGACAAAATAATTGACATTGAAACCAAACACCATTTATGAAAGATACAAGGAATCTGAGTTCTAGATCCTTGGTATAGAGCTCTACAGATTCCAGAGTTCTGCAACAGTGATCTTTCTGAAGCACAAATCTTGTGCTTCCGTTCTCCCAACCTTGAATCTTTCAATAGCTCCCAAAGATTGTAAGATTAACACCATTTATTCAGTGATTACTTACCCAGATCCAGGGACGGTGCTATTACGGGCAAGTCAAAAAGATACACAACATTGTGTTGAACCTCAAGAGACTTTTAGACCCCACTTTCATCCTCCCTTTGACCTCTGAATATGTTATTTTCCTCTGGAGTGGTTAATTCCATTGCTAATGTAAATCAATTCGGCACCTGACTTAAATTTTGTCTATTTTTCAGCTCTACCTGTTATCCCGATCTGCACATAAAGGATCACAACACAAACACAGACATCTTTTGAGATGGCTGGAGTGGAATAGGGAGCAGGGGAAAGAGGAAGAGGACAGCTCTTGTTACTCATGCCTGAATATTTTTTGATACTTGAATATTTTGATAGGGACAAAGAGGGTTATAGGTTATAGGTGACAGAAAGTTGAACAGGGTCTCAACCTGGGAGGACAGAATCAGGTGTATTGTCTCTAAGGTACCATTAAGCTGATGTTTAAAAGCTATCCAGATGGATGGCAGTGTGAGTTTATTGTGTCTCCCCCAAATATATATTCCTCTTAACCCCCCTGTGAATGTAACCTTAGTTGGAAAAAAGTCTTCAGATTAAACCAAGTTAAAATGAAGTCATACTGGATTATGGTAGGCCCCAATCCAATGACTGGTATCTTTATAAAAGAAGAGAGAGATTTGGACACAGAGACACACGGCGAGAACACCACGTAGTGCAGAGGCAGAGATTGGGGTGATGCATCTACAAGTCAAAAAATGCCAAAGATTGCCAGCAACCACTAGAAACTAGGAGTGAGGCATGCAACATACACTTCCTCTAGACCCCAGAAAGAATCAAACTTGCTGGCACCTTGACTTTGGACTTTTAACCTCTGGAAGTGCAAGATAATACATTTCTGGTGTTTTAAACCATCCAAGTTTGTGGCAATTTGTTACAGCAGCTGTAGGAAACTAATATAGATGACACATGGAAGAAAATGGTAGACAGAAGACTCAGCACAGTGGAGTCATGGATTGTGAAGTAGTTTAGGCATCTGCTTATGGAATATCCCCAAGAACAATCCGTAGGTGGGGTTTCAGACCCCTGACCCTACTATCAATAGGTTATTACCACTGTATATTAGTATCAGGCAAAGGACAGCTTAGACTTTCTTTTTTTTTCCCCCATTTATTTATTTTATTGCATTTTAGGTTTTGGGGTACATGTGAAGAACATGCAAAATTGTTGCATAGGTACACACGTGGCAGTGTGATTTGCTGCGTTCCTCCCCATCACCTACATCTGGCATTTCTCCCCTTGCTATCTCTCCCCAGCTCCCCATCCCCCACCGTCCCTCCCCTATTTCCCCCCAACTGACCCCAGTGTGTAGTGCTCCCCTCCCTGTGTCCATGTGTTCTCATTGTTCAACACCCGCCTATGAGTGAGAACATGCAGTGTTTGATCTTCTGCTCTTCAGGACAGCTTAGACTTTCTAAAATATTACCTGCATATCTACAACAAGGGAGAACAATTTAAAATCTGCAAACATACTATTATACCTACTTGTTTGTTTTATGCATTTCTTTAAAATTTAAGAAGAATCTGTTCTTTTATATTCCAAATATGGTAAAGGAAAGTTGTTTTGTATATCTGTTCCATGAAACATAAGAAAATAAACACTTTTCCCTGCTCCCCTTGCTGGAACATTATGCTTACTTGGCTGTAGGCTGGTGGCAAATTTCTCTGTGTCTCTCCTTTGCCAAGGAACTCTCACAGCCCTGAGATGGAGGGCAATTGGGTTGAGTGAGAGGGGTTTACCATATTCTCCCCAGGGAGAAGTTCAAGTAATGCTGGAGGATGATAAGCTACCTTCTGAGGAGAGTGGGCTGATCAGTAGCTGAGTATTTGTTTTGATGAGTGAGATGTATACAGGAGGGAAGCACCCAGACAGTTCATAGTCCATACGAGGCTCAACACTCTTCTAAATGAATATTGAACATTTAAGACTATTGGTTTTGAAGTGGCATCAGGTTATTCAGCTCTACTGGGGAAAGGTTGGTGAGGCAGGCAGGCATTTATGTGTCTCCTTGGGTCCTTTGTGGAACACAACCTGGTATAATTATAATTACAGGTGACATAAAATGAACTCTTTCTATGTGCCTGGCACTGGGCTAATTTATGAACAAGATCAGTATTGATCTTCAAACCAATCCTATAAGGAAGGTAGTATTATGACTCCATATTACAGATAAAAAAGCTGTGACTTCAGGGGGCTAAGAAACGTGACCACAGTCACATGACGAGGTTGGTGATGCAGTTGAAATTGATAGCCATGTCTAACTTCAAAGCACCAGTAGCATTCGAGAGGTAACTTAGTCAGTGGAATGAGGGTGAAGGACATTGCAGGAATGGAGGCTGACCTGACATCAGATCTTAGACATCTTTGGATGCCCCACTAAAGACTTTGGACTTTGTAAATATGCAAGAAGGATCCACTGAACAATTTTAAGCAAAGAAGTCAGAGCACCCAGTATTTGGTTGGTCTTCAGTCCGTATCTGTTGAATGGACATCAACAACCTGTAGTTTATAAGCTACAGGAAATGGATTGGAGAGGGGCAGGACAAGAGGAAGGGAGACCAGTTAGAAAGTTGGAGAACAGACCAGGAAAAAGAGTTGAAACCTGTTAGCATGCCACATAAGGCCCTGCTACGCTCTCTCTGTGTTTTCCTATTTAAAAACATCTGGCAAACTTTCAAAGGTGCCCATGAAATGACCCTATGCCCTCTTGAATTTCACCCAACTCATCCTACAACACTTAAAATCCATCTTTCCAGCATTAGTGACATGAATTCTGAAGGCAACCAATTAATTATGCAAAATTTAGAGTCCACCTTGGATCCAGTCGGAG